CATCAGGCAGGCACTCCTGAGTTCAAGCCTCACTCTGCCCTGCAAGCACAAGAGGTCTAGAAGCCTGGCCCTGACCTTGAGATGCCAGGGTCCATACACTAAGGGCAGCTGGGTAGTGGCCTAGGGGGCCCCTGGGAACCTCAAGAGCTCAGCTATGTAGACCACGAGTGACAGGCCCTGGTTAGGGCCAAGTGGGGGCCTGGCCAGGGCAGAAAGAGCTACCAGAATGGGAGCTACCCCCAGCTCCAGAGAATAATGTGGTGGCCTGGGAGACCCACCAGGAGGCTAGGGTGGGGCTGAGACCTGCAGAGCCCCCCTTTACGGGGCACACCCCTCATGCCTGCCGCAGGGAGAGGCTGGATGAAGGTGTGGAGGTTCACAACTTAATGACTTACAACTTTTTGAAAGAAAGGAAAAACCCCAAGAAACTGGGGGTGTAGTTCAGTGGGAATGCCCTGGGTTTGATCCACAGTGCTGCAAAACAACAAAATAAGACAAACAAAAATCACTCCACTGGGAGTGGGGGGTCTGGGTTTTCTCGGGACCTCCGTTTGCATACGGGATCTAAGGCACTCAGAGCCAGCTCCTCAGGCCCCACGCCCACTTGTCCTGAAGGCTTCAGGAGCCCTGAGAGCTCCCACTGGGGTCTGTGGCAGAAGCAGCCTGAACAGGGCCACACAGCTCTGGTCCGACCACAGAAAGGGCTGAGAGCCCAGCGCATGAGCCTGCAAGCCCGCAGTAGCTGGAATCCACCTCCACATCTGCCGCGGTCTGGGAAAGCTGGGAAAGCCACTGAAGAGCCAACTGCAGGGCGGCCCAGCACCAAGCTTCATAGACATGGCACCTACTCTCCCAGCTGCTAGCTCTGTGACAACTGCCACACAGGCCATGCAGGTGCCAGTGAGCCACCCTCTGATGGAGACGCAGAGAGGAAGCAAGGCTGGAGGGCAGGGCCGTCCTCAGAGCCCAGGCCTGTGACTGTCTTGCAGTGGCAGCAGCACAGGAGGCTCCCCGTCGTCGTCACTGCACCACTGGGGGGCAGGGGGGGGGGGCTGAGTTCTCAGAAAGGATGGTGCGTGAATGGAGGGTGCGCCTGTCTCCAAGGGCCCTTCTGGCTTTTGCTCCTGCTTTTGGGGTTTTGATCTGTGCTCTAGAAAACCAGCAGCCCAGCACAGGGCTGGAGGAGCTATAGCCTGCACATCACCCCAAATCAACTCAGTCACCTGCCAGGCCGTACCTGTCTGAGTCAACCAGGTCCTGTTTTCCTGATGCTTGTGTTTTGGGGTAGAGTCACGGGCCTGTTTTTTCTTTTGTCTTTTTAAGTCAGGGTCTTGCTATGCATTCCAGGTTGGCCTTGAGTTCACTTTGTTGCCCAAGCTGGCCTTGAACTCACAAGGATCCTAGGCCTTAGCCTCCCAGGTGCTGGGATTACAGGCGTGTGTCACCACATCTGGCAAGGGCCTTTTTCTTTTTATGCTTATGTGTATTTCTAGACTTTTTGTATTAGTTTTTGGAATGAAACAATACATGACATTACTAAGGTGAGAGACCCAGGGAAGGAAAAATGACACAGATGCCTCAGGAAGAAATAAGCCCTCACAGAATAGCACAGCTGGGATCCAGGTGAAGGCCCTGGTGTGGGTCTGGGTCTCAGGTTCCCGCCTGGAAGGGGACAGGACCTCCGCAAGAATCACAGGGGCAGGGGCTGGGGAGATGGCTCAGTAAAATAAGCACTTGTGCAAGGGCCCGAGTTTGATCCCTGGTTATGGGGAAAAAAAAAAATCCCAGAGGCCCCTGCAGAGCAGTATGGATATTGTGGTCTAGTGGCCTGGGCGGGGCCTTAGCCCAGCCCTACCTCTTGCTCCTCCTGGGGTCTGGTTGTCCACCCGCTCCCCGCCTCCCCACCTCAGGGAGCCAAGCACAGGGTGCTGGCCATCGTCCCTGGGCCAGTGACGGTGGAATCTTCCCTCGACAGCAAGGCACTGAACCAAGGTCTCACCATCATCATGTCAGCCCCAGACGGTTTGGGTTCAGGTTGCTACTCGTTAGAAGTGAGGCCAGCAGACAGCTCCACGGTGGTGCCCGCCTGCCAGCCCAGCACTCAGGAGACTGGGGCAGGAGCACCAAGGCGGCCAGCTTGGACGGCACCGTGAGCTCATCTGAGACTGTCACAGACTGAACTAGACCAACGAAAACGCAGGCTGCTCTGTCCCGACCTGAGCCTGAGCCAGGAAGGCTGGTCGCCCGGGCTTGGCTACAGCTCCCTGCCTGGTCTGACCTGGCAGCGACCTCTCAGCTCCTGCAACTGAGGCCTGGTGTGCCCACCTTGTGCTAGGTATGTGGGTGCCGGCCCTGCACACAAGCCTGGTGCCAAGGAGGCTGGGGGCTGCTGGTCAGGTCAGACCTGGCCTAGGTTGGTGACACCATTCTGTCACAGGGCATCTGGCTCCCCTGCTGGAAGCTGAGGCCTCCCTGCTGCTCTCATGCTGAGGGCAAGAACTCTCCCCCGGGCTCCTCCCTAGCACTACTTGGGCAAGAGAAAAAAAATGGCACAGCCAGATCCAGTTCCAAGGTTGGCATGTTTTTTGGTTTCATTTTTTTGCTTTTATAAACAAAAATAAGGTTGGTTTTCTACTGGGAACAAACCATGAATAAAAGCCCCTCCCCTGGCCCGTGCCTCCTGGGGCCACAGACAAGGATAGCGGGGAGGGTCTGGTTGTGAAAAACAGAAGTAGAAACCTAGACACAGTGCTGTACAAAGCGACCGCGAGGTGCCACAACCACATTGAAACCCAGGCCAGCAGTGGGACGTGGGGTCCAGCACTGCCCTGGGCCCAGGGGACAAGGGTCGCGACAGAGCACCCAGGCGCGAGGGGGCGTCCTGCTGGCAGGCTGCGCCTCACCCGGCAGCGGCAGAAGTGTAGAAAAATAAAATAAACTTTATCCCTGAATGACAGTGAAGAACCCTCCTCCAGTCCCATGCCCACCCTCCTGAGTCCCAGCTCACTAGGCATGATCGCCTGTGCCCACATGGGTGGTGAGGTTCGAGCGCCGTGGCGCCCAGGCAGGGCCAGGCTGAGGCCCTCAGCCCCTGGAGTGGCAGCAGGGACAAGTGTTGGTGTAGAGGAGCCAACGGGTGGGGCGGAAGGTGGCAGACTGAGGAGGCCCGGGAGACCTTGGTCCAGTGAAGCACAGGGTTGGGGGGACAAAATGGGGCTTGAGGGTTGGCAGGGGTCCAGTGTCATCCGAGATCACAGCTCATGTGGAACAAGGGGCCAGGACCTGGCCAGGGGCCACCAGAATCAGAGTAGGGGTGCACGCAGTAGGAGGGGAATCTGGGGGTCCATAAGCCACAGGAAGGGGCAGGGGCTCCTCACCCCAGGCCCTCTTCATCTTGGTGGGACTTGAAGATGGCCCTGTGCCAGGGCGTACAGTACAGACAGGTGGCAGCGGGGACATTCCTGCTGGCTTGGATGGTAGGCAAGGGGCCCCAGCAGGCAGCCTGTCCCAGAGTCCCTGGCCCCGGGGTCAGGTGTCAGCACCAAACAAGATCGATGTCACCCAAGGCGGCAGTGGGCAGGGCCAGGGTCCTGAGAATGTGTGCTCGCTCGTGCTCCCGGGGGCAGGGGCCGGCCCTAGAGACGAGGATCCTGGTGGCAGTGGTGACGGGCTCACCCTGGGCACTGCTCTTGGGCACTGGGCGCTCAGCGCAGGCTCTGGTACAGGTAGGCTGAGGTGAAGATGGCGTTGGCGGTCAGGCTCACAGCTAGGAGGCCTCGGATCAAGGAGGGGCCCAGTCGCCCTGCAGAGTGACACAGCTCATCAAAGGGGTGCAGCGGGGTCCCAGCACCCTAGTCCTCCAGAGGGAGCAGTGTGTTGGGCACCCACATCCATCCCAACCAAGGGGATGCCTGTACAGGGGGGCTCCTGGGCCACCATGCTTACAGGCCCAGGCCACCCTGTCCTGTGCCTACACCTGGGCCACAAGGAGTGACCATGACACTCGTGTCAGGCAAGGAAGTGGGAGCCTGGAGGATGATGGCCCAGCCCAGGTCCTGAAGGTAAGCAGCAGGGACTTTTCTCTCCACACCATCCTAGGCCTGCCTGCCTCGCGCTGGGGACAGGAACTGGTATCCTCGCTGAAGGACCCTGCACCCTGCCAGGCAGTATGCGGCGGGCCAGGACCCAAGCACACAGCCAGCACCCGGGCACCACCTGAAGCCTGCCATGGCTGCTCTGAATGTGCCTGGCTACCTATGCCGGAAGTTGTGGCACCAAGCTGTCTGCAGAGTGGCAGCTTTGGGCCACAGAGCCTCCCGTGACACACTCTCAGGCTGGGCCTGGTCCCGGAAGGGTCGCCAAGGACCCCTGAATTCCCTGTGTGTCTCCAGGCTAGAGCTCTGGACCCCAGGAAGTGATGGTGGCTGGGTACAGACCCTTCCAGGGAAAGGCCTCCTCCGAGCACCCCTGGGTGGTGGTGTCCACCACACAGGCAGACGACTGGGACGAATCATCTTCCTTCTTGATAGAATGTCTGCTACAGGCACTGCTGTTCTCTGGCCTGGCTCGTGAATCTGTGGGAAGAAGGGCGCAGCCTCAGCAGAGCCACAGTGCTGCCTGGTGACAACCAGGGACAGCTCCACTTCAGTCTCCGGGCACCAGCCCAACCCACCCACTATGCTGACTGCAGAAGGCCAGGTCCCCTCAGTGAGCCCACAAGGACCTTGGTCGCACAGGTTCCCGGGCAGAGGTGATAGCAGGAGGGCAGCTCTGGGGACCAGGAAGCCTAACTGCCCTGTGCTCTGCCTGGCCAGCATCCAGCCCACCCTGGCTGGATCTTTCAATATCATTATGGACAGGAAATCTATGTCTCTGTAAAGGAGGTGTGGTGGCACACGCCTGTAACCCCAGCACTGGGGAAGATGAGGCAGGAGGACTGTTGTGAATTCAAGGCCAGCCTGAACTATGAAGCTAGAGCCTGTCTCAAAACGAACAAACAAAAAAACCCCAAAGAACATCTGAGGAAGTCCCAGGTGTTCAAGGAGCTAAGAGCCCAATTAAAAAATTTTTATTTTTATTTTTTTGGCAGAACTGGGGATTGAACTCAGGTCCCTGCGCTTGCCAGGCAAGCAGTTATTCCATTGAGCCATCTCCCCGGCCCCTAAAAAAATTTTTTTTTCATAATTTTATTGATAAACAGCAATGAGACAGTTTCAAATCAAATCGGTAGGACAGTTTCAATAACTAACACACTGCATATATTCTTAGTGGTTAATTGCTGTACAAGATGCGGACTTGAGATCCTATTTACAAACACCATTAGAACAAATCATTCTATTCATTAAGAGAATGTAACTATATATCTATCCTAACCACTGCCTAAAAAATTTTTAAACATCGAGCCACTCATAACTATCTGTGACTGGCAGCCTGGCCACCATGGTATGTCTTAAATGGATCCCTGAGAATGGAGAACCCTGATCCGTTTTAAGAGAAAAGGGCCGGCCAAATAGCTCAGCGCATTCAAGTGCCTGCAAACAGGCGCAGGGGCCAGGGGTTCAATCCCCGGACCTGCCGTGCCAGCCCTGCCCCAGGGCACGCAGAGATAGCAATTGAGACTGGACTTGGTGGCGCACGCCTATAATCCCAGCTCTTGGGAGGCTGTAAACAGGCGGATCACTGAGTCCGATCTAGTAGTGAGACCCTGAACACACTGTAGAGCCTTCCCTAAAATACAAGAAAAAAATTAAGAAAAAGACAAAATCAGCCAGTGGATGACAATGTCCCGGAGAACCCCAGGTCCCCAGTGACCAAGGACCCCACGCCCATCCCTGCTGGCAGAGGATGGCCACACACAGGAAGCCATGCTGAGCTCACCGGGGCTGTGCTTGGTGTCCCTGTCCCGAACGGGCTGCCGCAGGGGCGGCTCGAGGGTGAAGAGGCTGCTGTTGTGTGGTGTGTGCTCCTCCGAGCTGCTGGGGGTGCTGGGCAGCTCCCCAGGGGTTGCGGGGAAGAGCAGCAGCTTCTGTCCCTTCAGATTGAGCCGTGCAGGGCTGATGAGGGGTCTGCGGTGACGCAGGGAGCTGTAGCTGGAGGCCACCGAGCTGGCCACAGAGGGCACTGGGGACGGCAGAGGAGGCGACGTGGGGCCCGACAGCAGAGAGAAGTAATCTGTGGGGAGGGTGACAGAAGCGGAGGCAGCGGCTCAGGCCAGTGTGCGGCTATCACAGTGGGGCCTCTGGTGGCCGTGGGGGGGACCCCAGCTGGAACTTGAGCAGTGGGGGCTGCATGGGGCAGGGAGTCCCAGCCTTGCACGCTGTCCTCAAGTCCAGCGGAACCACTTGAACCTGACCAAAGGCCAAGTCCTGTAGTGACCAGAGCCCAGCGCTGTCTCCACTGCAGATCTGATCCTAATAACCACTGCCTATTCCAGAGGGGAAAAAAGCACAAGGCCTGGTCTCCTATACAGGTGTGCATGACCCAAAGCTAATGCCTAACTGCTGCTTCCCTGGATCCCCCATTACCGAAGCCCATATGGGGGTCACAGCCCCCCTCTGTGTGCCCTTGCCCTCCTTACCCGGAAGGGGGACCTCCTGGGGGCGAGACATCCGGGATGGTGGGCGGCTTCCACTGAACAGGTACCCTGAGTCTGGACAGAGAAAAACCCGCACACGTCAGGTGTGGGGACCGCGAGCCCCTCTCCATCTGCCACTGCCGGCACTTTCATGAAAACAGGCACTGCACCGAGCCTCAGCACCAAGATCCTGGGCTTGTCCCTCTTCTGCGGGGTGGACAGGAAGAATCAGCGGCCAGCCCACATCTCCAGCTCCTCAGTCTGTGCCCTCGAAGTACAAGGACAGTCTGAGCCTCCTGCTCCACTGTCCCGGAACTCACCGAGGCCTGTGAGGGACCCCACAGGGCACTGAATAGGCCGCTGCTTCCTAACCCAGCTGTACCGAGCGCGGGAGCCCCACTGGTTGCTTCCCTGAGCCCAGCGGAGCACCATGTGTGGAATGACCCAGAGTGGCAGCCTCTGCTCTGTCGCCCGGGCTCCAGATTGGTATGTGTGCACCTGCCCTTCACTCCCTCCCAGTCATCCCAGGGGTAGGGATGGCTTCACACAGGCAGACACCTTGGGCTTGTGCCAGGTAGCCTTGCCTGCCATGGGGTCCCCACGTCTGCAGCTGCGCCTGGCATGGGAAGGGGCTCAGGATGGTTCTGTCAGCAACCTGGCTCAGTTTGGTGACACAGCATGACCTAGAGTCCAGGTCTGTCCTCAGGCAGCCATGTCCCTACCGACCCCTAAAGGCCTCGAACTGTTAACCACTTAGCTCAAGTGACCGCCTCCATCTCAGAGGACGCTCACCTGCACAGTGTCCTGGACAAGTCACCTAAGACACCAGGGCTGTGAGCTCTGCATGGAGCTGCAGCCTCAACGGGAGGAGTGGCCCTGGAGCCTCAGTAAGAGAAGCTGGGTTGACCGGGATGCACCCGCATTCTGCCTCAAAGCCCCCGTGACCAGTGAGCTGGCCACCAGGGACACCTGCCGAACGAGGAGGTGGCTTCCCAAAGCGGGGCAAGGGTCATCGGACGCGCCCAGGTCCCATGCAGATTGCAAAGTAGACTGAGGCAGGGCATGTTGGTGCACACCTATTGCCCCAGCACCGAGAGGCTGAGGCAACCTGGAACCCAGCCTGGGTGACTTACGCACCCCACTAGAGAGTGGCAACCCCCAGCTGCTGGGGCACACAGCCCAGTTCCTGCTTTCACTTAGCACAGTGTAGTTAAAAGGTGAGAACCACTGAGCACCCAGAGAACCTGGTGTCTGTGGCCTTCGGAGCCCCTTGAATGTATGGGGCCCCCACTGCACTCTGGAAGGGTGACAGGTTGCATGGCTGAGTCCCTTGGCCAGGGGCAGCAAAGGAGTAGTCTAACTCAGCTCTGAGCAACACCACTCCACCTTGCCCTGCCCCCTTCTGCCTCTTACCTGCTCGTGTCAGATTGGGGATGGTGCCCAGCGAGAGGGCCCGGCTGAGGCGGCCTGGCAGCGAGGAAGGTGAGGCCCGACGGGGAGACCGGAACAGCTGCTGGTTGGTAAGAGGCAGGAAGCCAGGTGGGGTGGGGACGAACAGAGCTGGTGAGGATCCTGGGACAGTCGGACGGGGCAGGGCCAGGCCGGGGCTGGCAGGGAAGAAGCCCACAGTGTCTCCAGGGAAGCACCTGCACGCACCCATTGGGCAAGGAAAGAGGAGAGGATGAGCCGAGGTCTGGGCTCAGCTGGCACAGCAGTGCCCATCCCCGGCTCGGGTGTGAGGGGCCTGGAGTCGGGGTCCAGAGGAGGCGTGCGTTAGTGGAAGCAGGGAGCAGTCGTGCATTCACGCCATTAGGAGCGGGTGGCGGGCTGTGAGCACGACCGGCCACCCTGCATGCCCCCCGGCCCCTCACAGCAAACTACCTCCACTACGGTCTCACCATTAAAGTGGCACTGTCACCCGTGCCAACCTCACCCACGCCCCACCCCCATGCAGTGAGACTTAGTGGCCTCGGGTTCAGTCTTGCCACTTCATCTGCCCTGAGCCTCCCACATGGCTGTGGAACTCAGTGACGCCCTGCTGGACACACAGCTCCAAGGCGTCCCTGGTGCCCTACCTGGGAGGACCGCTGCCTGCCCCACGGTCACTGATGGGAGGTGGTCAGGCTGAGGCTCCCTGGAGGTCACAGGGACATACCAGCATCACACTTAGAAAGCCCCAGAAACAACAAGGCTCCCCGAAAGACAGAGGTGACAGTGTCTCTTTAACTCGAGAAAGAAGAAATCACACAACAGGACCAGAGAGCCTAGGCCAGAATGTCAACCATGCTTCCAATTAAGGCACCCAATTACAGAGGGGAGGCAGAGGCAGTTAATACATTAGTCTGCCATCTGGACAGAGCTCCGGGTGTCCAGCCTTACCTCGGTCCCAAGGGACACATGGGCCCAGCAGACAATGCTGATGGAGGGGCAGGTGCAGGGCCACAGTGAGCTGGACCACAATGGGCACTGCCCATCTTCCCAGGTGTTTTCCACCTCCCTGTCCCTTTAAAGGAGTTTTATAAAGAAGATATGGGACTTCCTGAAGAATCAGGCAACCTTCCTAGTCTTTTGCCAAGTACAGGAGGGTCACCAGAGGGGAAGCTCAGTGGGGAAAGAGGGAGGGTAAACCCGCAGCGCGGCCTGGCCAACTGGGCCCCAGGCTGGATGAGCTCTCCTTGAGAAACCCCAAGATTCTAGGGAGGGCTCTGCCTCCAGCCAAAAGAAGTCTGGAGGCCAGGACTGTAGCTCAGTGTTTGCTAGGCATGCACCAGAAAATCCCAAACCAAACTGAAACAAAAAACAACACAGGCGTGGCGTCTCCACTTTAGCACCATAAGGCCACCTGGCAGGACGGCTGGCAGCAGCGCGGGGATGGACACTTTCAGGTACCGCCGGGGCAGAGGCTTGACTGTGCCTGGGTCTCCACAGGCGACAGTGGTACTGCAGCAACAGGTGTGGCCTCAGAGGGGGTGGCAGCAGGACTGTGGGCTGGGTTCTGCGCCCCACTCCCTAGGCACCAGTGAGCTTAGGGGCTGCGTGAGATGGTGGAGTTTCAGGTTTTAGGGAGTCAACGGGGATCTGAGTGTCCTGGCACCTTGGGGTCACCACCAGTGGGCACGGCTGGGTCTGGCCAGCATTTGATGCTTTCCCAGGACCTGCTCACACTGGGGGCCCCTCCCCGGACTAGCCTAAGAATCCAGCCACCTAGAATGGGGGTTGTCTCTGGCTGGGATGTCACCCAGAGCATCGGCCCTGTGGGAAGGCCACTCTGGATGCCCGCATGCTCTTGTCACACCAGGTGACATCACTGTACCTCCCTTGGCTCCTTCTGTGAAAGGGGCCCTGGCTGGCAGGGTCTAAGCTGCTCTGGCCAGAGGTCCCAAGTCCGCCTATGCTCAGCGCCCAGGCACCCAGAGCCTAGGGCTGAGGCTGTGTGTCCCCAAGGCAGGTGATGACTGCAGGACTCTGGGGAAGGTGGCCAGGACTGTCACCCCACTGCAGGGGAGCTGTGTGGTGTCTTCCTGCCCAGCAGAGAGGTGTTTGGTAAGTCTGGTAACACAGCCTAGGCTGGCAACAATGGCTGGGCCTCCTCAGCCACTCAAGGTCCCTGTTGCCAGCCCCTGAATCTGCTACCCACCGGACTCCCATGGCACAGCTGCACCCCAAAGCCTGACCCAGCCTGGGCACACCCAGCTTGGGCACAGCAGCACTCCTGAAGAAACATGAAAGAAAAGAGAAACGCCGTGACTCCTGACGCCACCGGAAGTGCAGGGCCCGGGAGGCATTTATTGAAAACACAGCATCCAGAACAGGACTAGGGCCAGGGTGGTTACAGCAGTTAGGGGTCACTAGACAATCCACATTCTACTATACGAAGACACAGAAGGACAGAGGTCACAGGCCTTTCCTGAAGGGAACAGGGTGGGGGGTAGGGTGGTGGAGGCTGGTCCCAGTTGAGTCCAGAACAAGTGTTAGCAGGGTGCGGACCCAACCACAGGCTGCACAAGCTGAGCCCGTCCAGCCCATGGACACCTATGGTGTCCCTCTATGATCCCGCCCAGCCTGGGACAGCTGTCCCCTGTGCACGAGGGCACCACACATGGGTGTCTGCACTTGCACAGACACTGCCAGCGACACCAGCAACTACTGACACTTTCTCTTTAACAAAATTTACTTAAGAGACGAATGATTTTTAAGTCACACAAAAACATAAAAAGGCCAGGAAGCCTTACTGACATGCCTTCTAGGAGCCACCAGGGGGCAGGAGAGGCAATGCCTAGCAGGGACCCTGGGCAGCCATAGAGCTGGCTCCAGGTATTATAAATAACACACACACACACACACACACACACACCCGTGTCCTGCTCTTACCCAATGCCAAAATGCAGAAATTAGCATCGCACTGTCAGCTTCCTAAGAATGGGAGACCCACGGCGATGCAAGAGCACATGCGCTGGCAGACCGGCCCCTCTCCCTGCTGAGGCTGCTTTTGGGGTGAAGGATGGACTGGGCTCCAAACCCTCAATTCGCAGCCACCAGGGGAGCTGTGGCTCGTGCACCCTGTTGCCCCCACACTGAGCTTGAGTTGAGAGACCAGGGCCTCCTCCTGGGGTAGGGCTGCTTTCTTGTCTTACCCCAAGCAGGACAAGCTGAGCCTAGCAATCCAAAGTCACACAGAAGCCCCCATGGCCTGGGGGTATCACACACACAGCAGGGCAGGGGCTGCCATCTAACTGCAGAGGCGCGGAGGGTGGGTAGCCTCCGAGGACCCTGGAGCGGAGCGGGACTCACACAGCAGGGCTGGCCAGCCACTTCCACCCACCACCTGCGCCCTCAGGCTGGGGAGCAGACGGCCGCTGGGTGCGACCTGCACGGCTCCTTCTTCCCTGGGAGGGGCCGTGTTTGGAGCGCGTGACAGTCACCTGGGAGGAGCGTGCAGGGCACTCAGGCCTCAGGAGAGCAGCGTGTCCCGTGGCACTGTAAGGCCTTGCGGCTCCCCAGCTGGGGTGCTCCACAGGCCAGGAGCTTCCTGTATGTCTGCACAGCCCCTCAACTGCAACGTCTCAGCGCACTGCCTCAAGTGACACGCCTGGGGAGGCCAGTGCTCCAGGATCGTGGCCAGGACCACACATAGCCATGAGGAGCACCTCTGGGCCTGGCCCTGGTGGGGACAACATTGGGGGCCACGTCTCAGGATGAGGCAGAGGCCTGCAAAGTGTGCGGCACCCACAGGGAATGGAGGGCACCCTCTGTGAGCTGCGTGGACTGCTGACAAGGACCTGGTGTCACACAGCCAGTATACCTTTGGGGTCCCTTACTTGTGCTTCTCTGGGCACTACAGGGGAGCAGGATCAAGTCCTCCTGTGTGGCCTGGCTGCTGAAGGGGGCCTGCTGGCCCCAGACACTGCACCCATGGACAGGGCTCAGCTTATAACCTCCAGCGAAACCACGTAGGGACCAAGGACTACACTGTCCCTTTGGGGAGGGAGGCTGGGGACCTTACTCTGGAGACTGTCTCAGGGCAGGAACTGGGAAAGGGACAGTAGGCAGCCTGGCTGTAAGCAGGACCAAGAGGATGCACCAGGGCCAAGGCTGCTGGGTGGAAACAGCCACAATTCTGATCTAGCCCTTGTGTACCCTGCTGTGTGGCCTGGGCCCTGCTCAGCAGCCCGGGTGGCCAGGCCACGCAGTGTGGACATCGTGCCAGGAGCTCAGTGGGGGGCCAAGAGTCTTGGGGCAGGCTGCACGGGTGCTGCCAGGATATAGGCACTGAGAGAGGGCCTCAGGCCAGAGAGGCGGTGGCAGTGGTGAGCAGCTATGGTACCGGGGAGCACCTCAGACTTGGGCTCAACTTGGCAGAAGGGGAGCACACGGCTGGGCCCTGGAATCTGGGCAGGCAGGGAAGCAAGTGAGAAAAGACAGGGCTGAGGGGCGCCTCCTCCAGACGGTGAGTCCCGGGCCTGTCCATCCGTCTGTCCTCCCCCCGCAGTCACTGCTGCTGCTCTGACCTTCGGGGCCGGAACCGCCGTGGGCCCGTTGCCTTCCTTGTGGCTACAGTCGCCGTGAAGCCCACCAGGCAGCACAGGGACATCGTGCTGAGCTTGAGTGTGTCCAGCCAGCTGGGCGAGGCTGCTTGCAGGTAGCGCTCGGCCAGGTACAGCCCCAGCAGCAGAGCCCACAGGCAGGCGGAGAAGGCGTCAATCCTTCGAAGCCTGCAGGAGATGAGCAGGTGAGTTCACGGGGCACAGGGTGGGGCCCAGCCCAATGGCTCAGGGCCCATCAACACTGCCCTCAGCCTGTGCCCCACCACAGCTTCAGAGCCACTGCTGCCACTGTAAGGGTGCAGTGCATGGACACAGAGCCCAGAGCATCTGGCTGGAGCCTCGCAGCCAAAGGCACAGGCGGTCAACATCGCCTGACTTTCCATGCAGGCTGGAGGTGGAGGAGGAGGTGACCAGGCCCACCCTGCAAGGAACAAGTGCTGGGCTAGCTCAATGCCCGAGACCCTCTAAGGCCCGCTGGACTCCTGGGCCCAGAGAACAGGGACAAAGCCAGTCGCTGCACAGTGCACAAAGTTCAGCCCAGGGCTGTCAGTGTCCCCTGCCCTCCCATGTCCCCGGTCCCACATGTACCTGATGCGGCCGGCTAGCAGCATGGCCAGCAGGCAGGTGGCGAGGCCCATGGCCACAACGCCCATTTGGTGGCTCTGCCCAAAGGCCCAGGCCTCGAGCAGCTTCTCTGCTGCGGGCTCGGGCAGCAGGTCCAGCAGCTGCCGCCAGCCCTCAGTCCCTGCGGCAGTGCTGTTGTCTGGTGCAGCTGAGCTGTTGTTGCCAGGTGGCAGAGCTGGGGGCAGGGCGACCCCCAGGGTGAAGGGGTTGCTGGGGCCATACAGCGCGGTAGTCAGCAGGAAGGCGCAGGCCAGGAAGGCCAGAGCACGGAGCAGGATGACCTGGACGGGGGCCTTCGCCGCAGAGGAGCTGGAACTCTGGGGAGGAGGAGACTGGTCAGGCAGGCACTGCAGCGCTATCCCCAGCGCCCCATGCCCACCCTGTGTGAGGGTGTGGGCCAAGACCCCACCGCAGCCAGCCTGGGGCCCAGAGAAGCTCTGCTCCCCCACTCTCCTGTACTCCTCGCCCCCTGCTTCTGTTTTTTTTTTTTTTTTTTTAATTTTATTTATTTATTTGTGTGTGTGTGTGTGTGTGTGTGTGTGTGTGTGTGGACAGCTCAGTCCACCAGGGGGCGGGGCTGGCTGGCATGTGGTGCTGGGGGATCGAACCGCGGTCCACGTGCTTTGCTAAGCTTGTTCTAAGTAGGTGCTTTAGACCACTGAGCCATCTCACCAGCCCCTCGCCCTCTGCTTCTAAAGAAACCTTTCTCACGCTGTGACCCTCTGCCCCTCAAGTAGCAATGGCTGTCAAGTCCTCACCAAACGTGTCCACCATGCTGGTAACTAAACTGCAGTCAACGTTCAGGGAACTGGAAGAGTTAAATCCCCGAATCCTCAGGTCTGAGGACAGGTTCTCCCCCAGTGTCTGGCTGAGGACAGGCAGACCCCTGACTTAATGAGAATGCTTAACCAGGGGCTGCCGCACAAGTTAGTACTTGAGCCAGACACTCCTGGGCCCAAGTCCTGGCACCACTGTGTACACAGGTCTCTCAGCTTCCCTGGGTTAGGACTCCACAGTTGTGAATGTGTGTCACAGGGCCTGAAGGTGGAGCATGAAGGCTGTCGTGAGGGTCAGGAAGGGCTCAGGGACAGCAGCAAGCACCCATCATGGTCCTGGTCACTGCCCTCAGGAGCACACCCACCTGAGCTAGTGACACGAGGGCCCGGGAGGCACCACGCTCCAGGAGGTTCCCTGCAGACTCATGCCCCGTGCACCAGCCTCACGCCGTACCTGGGCCTGGTCCGCCTCCCGGCGCCGGAACTGGTGGCTGAGCAGCAGGGCGCGCAGCTGGCGGTTCTGGTGCTTGATGTAGTACTCCACGGCCGCCTGGCATGGCCGGCACAGCTTGTACATCTGCTCCAGGTGGTGGCGGTACACCTCGATCTCTTCATCGTACTTGCCCTTTGTGTGTGGGGACAGCAGGTGAGATCGAGGCCCTGGCACTTGCATGTGGTGACACTGGGAAAGACCCCCCAACTCTGAACTGCTCCCCTGCCTCCCTACTGAATGCCGATGTGGCTCCAGAAATGGAAGCTAGCATAGGCAGGGCCTGCCACTGCTCCAGGGGTGGAGCTGGATGCCAAGAAATGGGGCATGTCCTCTGCCCTGCTCCAGCCCTGAGCTCCTGGAGAGAGGCTGGGCTATGGGGAGGGGATCTGGGCTGACGCTGCCGGTTGTGGCAGACGGAGGACCGGGGAACAGAGCCAGGGCTCTAAGATGCACCAGAGGGCTGCTTGCCGGGCCTGAGCCCGGGCGTGGGTGGGGTGTTCCACGGGCTTTGGAGACAGCTTGGAAGCTAGTCCCTCCCTAGCTCCTCCAGATACACAGCAGCGTGCCTCTGCTGCGTACGGTGGCCAGGATGCTCCCCAGTGTGCCCTCCACTGGAACCATGAGGGTCAGTCAAGCCCCGCTTGAGGTCAGTTCCTCCCTTCCTGCAGAACCCAAGCTCCTTTCTGGCCTGAGAAGGCCAGCACTGCTACATCTCAGCTGGGACCTGCCTCCTAAGGTCATGGGACCTCCAGTTGGGGGGGGTTGGGGGTGAGTGGGGAACAGGCAGGAAGAGGAGCCAGGTCACCAGGCTCTGGGGCTCCTGGATGGCCCTGTGGAGGATGCTTCCAGCTCAGCCTCCTTTAGGACAAGGCTCTCAGCACCACCTGCTTCCTTATCCCCCAGAGCTCGGTCCTCACCCGGGTGTCCAGAGACAGCCTGAATTCAAAGGATGAGGACCGAATGTGTCCCACATGTCCCTCTGCTCAGGTCAAAGTGTCCTGCCCTGGAGGCCTTGGATTTCCCTGGCGTTCCCAGGCTTGGCCACAGACACTGTGGAGAAGGAAACAGCCCCGCCGGGTGGCACACAGGTGGGCTCACCTCCTCCCTGGGCGTGAAGGCGGCCAGCTGCTTGATCTTGGTGGTCTGGTGGTGGTTGCACCTGCGGCACAGCAGCACCTGGCTGCTCACCCACTGCTGTGGCTGCGCAGGCTCACGGGGGCTGGGCGCGCTGCTCACCACGTGGTTCAGGTGCTCCAGGTACTGCGCAGGGATGGGCTTGTTGTAGTCGCCATTCTGTTGGGGAGAGGTGTCCTGGTCAGCGAGCAGCCCCTTCCTGACCTGGCGCCAGCTCAGGCCCAGGTCTGTGTGAGAACCCTGAGATTCCCATCCTTTCTCAACTAAGACGCAGCAGCTTTCTTCTGAGACACTTCACACAGAACCGAAAGCTCAGGCGCTGCAGGCGATGCCACCCAGCTTGGGTGCTTGTCCCCAGTATCTCCTACCCCACCATCCTGGCTTGGACCCAGGACCTGGCTCTAGGTCTTGGGGTGCACAATGTGGCCTGTGGCGCCTGCCTGTTTTGTAAATGAAGTCTGACTGAGAGCTGTGCTGTTCCCAGGCTGGCTACGCGCCGAAAAGGGGAGCCGCGGCCTCGAGGTGCTGGCCTGGGAGCACCTGCCCGTCCTGCCGTGCCCGCACCTCCTGGAAGCCGTTGTACTGCTCGCAGTGGGGACAGTCCCAGCAGTTGCGGTTCCCATAGGGCACCAGCGTGTCCTGGTTGCAGAACCAGCAGTTGACCATCATGTGCGTCGGCTTCGCCCTGTGGACCGAGGACAGCGGTGTCAGCCCGGAAGACTCCAATTCCTGCGAGATTCAGCCCTTGGCCCCAGGCCCCAGGGAAGGGGTGCTGGATGTGGGGTCCAGAGTGGGTGGAGGGAACGCTGGCTCCGAGCAGAGGGACGCCTGCTGGGTGCAGCTGTTTCCTTCCTGGGAACCCCACAGAGCCATGCTTGGCACCTCCCAGAAGGCAGCTGGGCACTCACCAGCTCTGGCACATCAGTGTGGGGACCCAGGACTGGCAGCCCCTGATGGCCTCGGGCTCAGGCCCAGCAGCAGGAATAGCATGCCCCAGAGGGCACTGGGGCACAGGGCTGTGGGGCTTCCTAGAAAATGCCCCAGAGAGGAGAGGAAGCCGCGTGTGGGGCAGTGCCAGTGACAGCTGTCTCCCCGGTGAGGGGAGAAGCACGGCAGCCCTTGCTGGCCACACATGTTGTGACAGGTGGGGGCTGTAGGATAATCCTGGCCCACACACTGGGGATCTGTGTTCAGCCCCTCAGTGCGGAGGAGGGGAGGTGTGGCAACTGCTGGGCAAGGCCCACAGCCCGGGAATCCCAACATGGAGAAGGTGCAGCTGCTCAAGCCAGGTCTGGTCTTGCTGTTCCTGCCCTGCCCTCCCTTGGTCGCGACGGATGGCCCCATAGATGGTCCCACTGTTCAAACAGCCTGGGCCTGGGCGCTGCCAATGTTGGGGTACGTGACCCAGGAAGCCCCCCTCCTCCCAGTCTGGGCATGCCTGCCTGCAAAGTGGGGGGCCATAGCACCACCTGATACAAGGACACAATGACACAGGTCACAGAGTGCTCTGAAATACAAAAGCCCAGCCCTGCCACCACCACGTCTGGGGCCTGTCAGTGGCCTGGGACACCACGCAGTCACCACAGAGTTGGGCTCCACCCAGCTCCTGTTACCAACACCAATGCCACTGTCTGGCCTTGCCCCTCCATGTGGGGCAAGATAAAGGACTTCTGTCACCTGCAGGCTGGGGACAAGAGCCCCTCCCTCGAAGGGCTTTGTCTGTGGGAAGTGCTTGGCCATGCCTGGTCTGCAGGCAACGCCGGACGTAAAAGAACTGCAGTGACCCGGGGGCTGGGGAGAAGAGGAACCGGAACCAGAACTGGAGCCAGGCCCAGACGTGCCCCCATGCAGAGCCCACAGGGGTGGTCAACAGCTGGGGAGGCAGCAAGGCTTGAAGCTGGCACCCTGGGGAGGTGGCTTCCATGGAGGGTCACCTGCAGACCTGCTCGTGCATCTCCACCTCATTTCCTCACCCTGAGAGGCTGTAGGAAGGGCTGGGCCTGGTGCAGGGTCACAGCGGGCACCTGGACAGCATCCCTCTGTACCACCAAGGAAATAACAATGCCAAAGACCACTGGTGCCACCTGGGCCTGGAGGCCTGGGAACTTGCACTCTGCTGCAACGCCCGCATTTGGCATTCCAGGGCAATCAAGTACTTATTTTGTTTTATTTTTGTGGTACCAGGGATCTAACTCCGGACCTTGTGATGGCCAGGCAGGTGGTAATGCTGCTGAGCTGTTTCCCCGGCCCCAATTAAGCATTTAGTTTTTCTTAATTTGTACCTGCTTTATAGGCCTCTTTGTAACTGAATGGGGGTGTGTCCTGATAGCTGGTCACCAAGCAGGGCCCCTGAGTGAGTCACCCCCTTCCTCCCCGTGATGGCCAGAGAGGCCCCAGCCCTGACCTGTGGTAAGGGGAGGCCATCCTTTGCACTGGCCCTGGTGACAACAGACAGAAGGGCAGGGGCCCTGGCTGCCGCCCAGGGAGCCCACCAGGAAGCCCCTCCTGTCCCAGGAAGCCACAGCTTCCATTTTGAGCTCCAGCCCTGTTGCTACGGAAATGGAAGTGGAAGGTGAGGGACTATCCGTGGTCCCTGGGGACTGCAGCTCATCTCTGGCCAGGAGGCCCGGGTACTCGCATGTGGTCAGAGTGGCACCCGCCCTGGCCAGGCAGGGTATCTGGCAGCAGTCACCCCTTTTGGGAGCAGCTCTGAGAGGAACTGGGTAGAGCAAGGGACAGCTTGAGGTCCCCTCCTGGGCCTCGAGTTCCCAGGGCGGAGAGGACAGGCCTAGCCTTAGGGCTCAGCTCCACCAGCCTGATGTGGGCACAGCCTTTTGGCCCCCGCTTTTGCTCTGGGAATTGCCCCTGGGGCTTCCCTCACTCACCTTTGGCCCAGTCCTTGCCCTCAGGCCAACCTCTGTCCATAACTTGGCCCTAGAACAAACCATACTAGGTGGACAAGGTTTGAGGTGACAAGACAGGTAGGTACACAGGTGACTCAGGGAAGACAGCTCTGAAGAGGCCACCCTCGGTCCAGTGCTGGGCCAGATGGTGTCCAGAAGGCAGGGTGCGACCGTGTGGGTAGACACTGATGTGGAGCTTTTGGGATGGGCTGGGCACCCACAGCCAGGAGTGCTCAGAGGGGCAAAGAACGCGCCCCTTGAGTACCTCCCACACTGCCAGCCCACGTCAGAACAGAGTTGGGACAGCGCACCTCTCCCTGCGGGGGCAGGGGCTGCTCTAGGTGGGATCCTAGGACCTGGCGCTGGGCCACACGTCAGACACCACACCAATGGAGCTCAAGGGTTACCCTGGGGAGTTGTGTGACCCCCTGTGCCCTCAGAGAGCCTGGCCCCCAGGGGGCTGGAAAGACTGCTTCTGAGTCAGCTTGGTTCCCTGACTTGAGACCCAAGGGACAGTGGCCTCATGGGTGGCTCCACCCTTAGCTTTCCCAGGGTCAGCTGGCAACATGGGCTGGCTCACCCACCTGATAGAAGGCCCAAGGAAGGCCCCACCTTCTACCCCAGCAGCACTGAGCTGCACCCCAGCACGGCCAGGACCCAAGGGGCCCCCAAGCATCCTGCCCTAGACTCAAGCAAAACACACCAAAATCCACAGCCATGCCAACACCAAGACCCCATCTACATCCCTCTGGGGACAGACCCATCCTGGGTTGGCACACTGCTCCCATCAGTTCACGGAGCACCACAAGAAGCTTGCAAAGACCAGACACAAGGACAGGAGTGACAACTCAGGGTGGTGACATAGGACAGTGGACAACACACAGGTCACCTCCCACTGCTGTGAGAAAAGGGGCACTCAGCGCCAGGGTAGATGGCAGAGGGAGGAGCAGACCATATGAACCGTGTACACTAGGGACTGGGGACAGCCAGGGCCATGAATGAGACACAAGCTTGGAATAGGAGAAAAAGCCACAGGGACTCAGTGTGCCAGGACAGGCTCTGCTACACATCCTGGTCCCCAAACGGACAGATACCACTGGTGTGATGGGTGCAGAGGTGCTGCCAAGGATAAGCCCCCTCACACAAAGGGGAACGAGACCCCGTTGGGCAGCAGAGTCAAAGTCTAGGGGCAGCACAGGCCCACCATGACTGCCTGGACACGGGGCGAGCCAGCCGAGGAAGTGTTCCGCCTGGGGCCTCTGGTCTGTGCTCGCCTGCCTGTGGGTGCAAGGAAGTATCGAGGTGCTCAGGGAGTATGGAGCACCCAAGGCATGAGTTTGCGTGACAGGAACAGTTCAGGGAGAGCCAGGTTGCGTGGGGCAGCAGCCTGACCTTTCCAGGGCTTTGTTTCCTCAACTGTAGAGTGGGGAGGACAACAGAGGGAACTGCTGCCTGGTCGGCGATGCAAGGAGGATGGCCTCAGCATGTGACAGCTGTGCCCATCATTAACAACTGCAGGGGGTCCGGGGAGATGGCTCGGTAGAATAAGCGCTTCTCTGGCAAGCGCAAGGGTCTGAGTTCAATCTCTGGTTCCCCCAAAGGAAAAACAAAAAAACCAAAAAAAAAAAAAAACAAAAAACAAAACTGGGGTAAAAGGATCTTGTGGTGGGGATATCATGGGTCCAATGGGCGCTCGGGGTGGGGGTGGGGGCTTCAGAGATGTAGCCACTTCCTGGGCGCCCAGCCTGGGCTGAGTAGACAGCATCCATTAGGGCGTGACGCCCTCCAGATCCTCCACAGGGCCACCTCCTGCCCTCTGCCATCTCTGTGCTGAGCCAGCAGACAGCCCTGCCAAGCTGCCTTCCAAAGACATCTACCCTTGCATGCCTCCCTCCCATTCAGAACTCCCGCAGTGGCAAGGGCCCGTGAGAACCTGCTGTAACGGCCAGAGCGAGAAGGGTACAGCTCCTGCTCCAAAATGGTGACAGCAGCCCACTACGACCCCTAGGTGAAACCCACTACCCTGTGAGGACGCCTTAGGTCATCTAGGAAGGACTGGTCCGCCACCCCGTTCCAACGCTTGGCATGACTCTGTTTTCTAGGGGTGTGAAGGGACTTCTGCGCACTGCCATGGCTGGCACTGCACCTGCATGCCCTGCAGAAGATCAAAGCCTCAAACACGACCAAGAAGGGGCCAGGAGGGAGACACAGGAGGGCTTGGCACCCCGAGCAAGCCCTGCTTCTTACAACCACACTAACTAAACAGGAGGGGAAGCACAGGCTGTCAGTACAGGATATGCATTCCCCACTCCTGAGGAACCCGCGATCTGAGCCAGCTCTGCTCCAGCTCCCCTGGCTCTAAAACAACCTGCTTGGTCAGTCTGGCCTTCCAAAGACATGGGTGAGGGAAGCCCTTGCGTCGGGGCTCCCGCAGCCTCCCTGGAAGTCCCAGTACAAATCACACGCCTGCTCACCAGTCCCCTCTGAGGAGCAGCAGGATACCGCGGTGGTAAAGACTCGCCGGCCACGCTGCCCGACCTGGGATCCAAATTTGGGCTGCCCTGGCTGTCCCTAGGATGTCCTCACCCACCTTCCTCCCTGCTCCCAGAGAAATGGATCAGGTCAGAACGACCTCCCTATCCCCTGGGCCCTGCTGAAGCAAGAGGCCCTTTTACTGCTGAGGCAGGGGGCAAGGCCAGCTCTGAATGCGGGGTCTGCGAGTGACCTACGTCCCCTTAAACACCCCTGCCACAGCTCAGCCAAGGGCGAGGACGGCGGGCTCCACACACGGGGCTCCCTGCACACCCCAGGGCTCCTATCTGATGACCATCATTTATCTCGCGGTCTCCCGCCTCCCCGGACTGAAGCACATCCCGATCCGGTGGCGCGCACAGCACCAAGCCCGGCTACGGTCGCCCCACCCAGCATGCTGCCGGGGCCTAGGCGCCCAGGGCCCAGGACCACCAGGGGGCAGCGGCGGGAGGCGGCGGCGGGATCCCCCGCCTGCCCACCGCGTTCGGAGCCCCGCCCCCAGCCTGCTCCCAGGCGCGCGGTGGGGGTGGGGCAGCCCGGTGGCCGCGCGGGACTCAGGCCGGGCCGCGTGCAGCCGGGCCCGCGCACTCACCTCCGCGCGATCCGGTACAGCAGCACGCCGGCTGCGGCGCACGCCGTGACGCCCAGGCCACCGGCCAGGCCGGCCGTGGGGCAGCGAGCCAGCAGCGCGCTCAGTCCTTCCATGACTGCGGCAACGGGCAGCGAAGCAGCAGGCCTGCGGCGCTGGCGGCGACGCGCCTGCTCGCGCCGTGACCTTCGCCGCTTTGTAGCCGGCGCGGCCCCGCCCCCTGACTCTGCGCGCTCCCTCCCAGCAGCCAATTGCGTCGCAGGGCGCGCTAGGAGGGCGGGGCGCCGGCGGAAGCGCGAGGGGTCAGCTCGTGCGCGTCCCCTGGCGGCTGGAGGTGGCAGGCGGCGCGCGGGCTCTGGATGCCCAGCCCACCCCTCTGCGGGCTGGGCACATGCGCCGCTGCGTGGGCTCTGGGTTTAGGCTGCAGAGCCTGCAGATGTCCCCTGCCCGTGACCGCATCCGCATGGACCTACCTGTTGTTAGTCCCTCTCCCCACGAGTCCGCCTTCCCAGCATCTGGCCGAGCTCAACTAGGCGCTTCTGGCTGTTTCTCTGCAAGCTGCATCACCTCAGATGCCACAGAACAAACATCCACCAGTGGGGGCAAGGTTGGACAGTCACCAGCGAGGACAGCGGGGCTTGATCATAACGTGAGGCCACTGCAAGGCACGCAGCGCTGGAGGGGGCCTGAGAGGATGCTGTTCAGAAAGCCAGGCGCAAAAGACCCGTGACATTATTCTAGGCGTGATGCCTGTGTGTTTACCACTGACTTGCAAATGGATTACCTGGGAGGGCCCTTGGGGGAAGATTACTGCTGCAGTATTGATTTAAGCTAAATTACTAGCCAAGAAAAGCTAATAGGAAATTGGAGTCTGTGCAACAGTTTTGTGACGCTGCAGCTTTCAAAGTTTTTTAGGTTGGTATTGAGTCCTTTGTGGGCAGCCGCAGGTCAGTGGAGGCCACTGTCACTTTTGTTGTTGTCTATAACATGTGCACTCCCAGACAGGAGGAAGGGCATCCTGGAAACCTAGGGTGTCTCGCCTCTAGGAGGTGGTCAGGACAGGGTCTTCCCTCTGGCATCCACCAACTCCGTCAGAAGACCATCATTAGCTTCAGCAGGGGTAATCCGTAATCCTTAGGTGAATGCAACCCTGACTTCAGATTTCAGTATTCCTGTTACATTTCGATCTGGACTGGCCCCCCGATGCACCCGTCCCTAGCCACTGGTGCCAAATGAGGTGGGGCCTATCTAGGCACGGTGCCCCACACCTGCAATCCCACTTCGCTAGGAGGCAAAGCAGGAGGTCCAGCCCGGCCTGAACAATTTATAGCAAGACTGTCTCAAGAAATGAAAAGAGGGGCCAAGATGGCTCAGTGGAATAAGCGCTTCCCTGGCAAGTGCAAGGGTCTGAGTTCAATCCCTGGTTCTGCAAAAAAAAAGAAATGAAAAGGGCTGGGGACCTAGCTCAGTGTGAAGGCCCTGAGTTCAACCCCCAATATTGCAAAAAGACAAAAAAGAGGCCTAGCAGGGCCTTCTGGTTCTCATGGCTAGCCTCTGAGGGAGGTCATGGACTCTGCTTTCTTTCCCTTTTTGCCTCTGGGCTAGGAAGTGAACTGGCCACAGACACCAGTCAGGGTGTGCTGCCACCCCACAGCCTCCCCCCCTCGCCCCCAACGGCTGGCAGGGGCTGCTGCCCCAAATAGAGTGAAATCAACTTTTAAAACCCATTATCAGGGGCTGGTGAGATGGCTCAGTGGTCTAAAGCACCTACTTAGAACAAGCTTAGCAAAGCACAGGGACCACAGTTCAATCCCCCAGCACCACATGCCAGCCAGCCCCGCCCCCTGGTGGGCTGAGCTGGCCACACACAAAATGAATTAATGAATAAATAAATAATTATTAAAAAAATAAAATAAAATAAAATAAAAATAAAATCCATTATCAGGGTCAGCCAAATAGCTCAGTGGATTAGAGCGCCTGCAAGCAGGGGCTGGGAGTTCCATTCCCGGGCCTGCCCCTGGAGAGAGCTGAGACTGCAATTGAGACTAGGGGTGGTGGCACATGCCTGTAATCCTAGCTCTTGAGAGGCTGTAAACAGGCAGATCACTATGAAGTCCAATTTAGTAGTGAGACCTTGAACACCCTGTAGACTCTTCCCTAAAATACAATAATAAATAAATAAAAATCATGGGCTGGATAGCTCAGTAGAACAAGGTCCTGAGTTCAATCCCTGGACTGCAAATAAATAAATAAATAAAATTCATCATCAAAGGGATCAGCTGACCAACACAGATCTGAGCCAGAACCGTCAGGCGGCAAGGCCCCTGCACCTTTGTTCCATGAGCAGGACGGGATGGGCACCGGATGGAGTGATTGGAAGGCCCGCCCACACCCCAGGAGGCTGAGGCAAGAGGATCACAAATCTGAGCCTAGCCTGGGTGACTTAGAGAGACTCTCAAGCCTATGGTACACTTCTGGAATCGAAACCGCCTTGCTGTTAAACACTCCAGCCACCAAGCAGCAGTGATGCCGCATGACGGTTGCTCTTCTTGACTTCTAGATACAGACTTCTCTATGCTGTCAGGATGAACAAAACTTCACTTTATTTTTTCATTTTGTGGTACTAGGAATTGAACTTAGGACCTCGTGCTTGCCAGGCAGGCACTTATTCTACTGAGCCATCTCCCTGGGCCTCAAAACTTTGCTTTAAATAGGATTTCAAAGTATCTTCCTAAAAACAAAAAAAACCCCAAAGTGTCTTCCTTTTATTTCTACCAGTGACTGTAAGTGAATCTGAAAGACGCTTCAGTATTATAATCTCACCCTTCAGCTCAATGTAACCTTCAGCTATAATACACTCAGGCTTTGGCTAAAGGGCTGATTGAAAGATTACCGAGCTTACCTGTGGTGCTTGTATGCACTGGAGAGTGAATACAGGGCCAGAACTCTACCGCTGAGCCCCTTCTTTAAATGTTACCTTTTATTCTGACTCGGTTTCACTGTGGAACCCAGGCTGGCCTCCAACCTTTCTGCCTCAGCCCACAGGCACGCATCAACATGCTGGTTGCCTTTCGCTTACTACAATATTTTTGCTCCCATATTACATTTCTTTTAAAAGCAAAAGAGTAAAATACTGACACTTTTTTTTGGGGGGGAGGGGGGACCAGGAATCAAACTCAGGGCCTCACACTGCCGGACAGGCACTGTGCTCCTGAACTACACCCCCAACCCAATTGTGGTAATTTTTAATTTTATTTTGTTATGTTTTTAGTACAGGGTCTATAGGGTCTCACAATCAGACTTAGTGATCCTCCTGTTTTCAGCCTCCCAAGGACTGGGATTACAGGCGTGCGTGACCACGCCCAGTCTCCATCACATCTCAGCATGCCTTGGGGGTGGGGCCGGCAGGCATGCCGGGGATTGAACCCCAGCCTCTGAGCTCTGCCTAAGCAGGCGCTTTAGTCTGCTGAGCTATATGGCTGGCCCCCAACTGTGGTAATTTTTAAAAACTTTTTTCCAGAGTATTCAAACAGTACCTGCACAGGCAGTCAAAATACAAGTGGCTTCTGACTCCTGCCTGGGCTCCACGAGACCCTCGAGGGCCCTGGCAGCAAAGCCGCGCCGCTAGAGATGGCTAGAAGCCAGGCAGCGGTAGCACAGCGCCTTGGGAGCCCCGCCGTGAGCTTCAACTTCAGGAAACGTCCACAGTGCAAGATCTTTAGTGTTACGGAGACAAACCACAAACGCGCTGAGGGGAAACAGGTGGGGAGGCTGCGTGGCGGCAGCACATCGTGGCAGCACCACATCGTGGCAGCAGCACATCGTGGCACCTCACTTCTTTCCGTCTGCCAGGGCTCACCCCAAAGGCCCACTAGAAAGCAGCACGTCTGATGGCATCCTTTTTGTTTGCAGGATGCATTTCATGAAAACAATTCCTTAGCTACGGTGTATAGTAAAATGAGTATAAAAGAGGACACAAACCCAATTTATACTTAAATTAAATAGCATGATTTAATTTAGTTGCTGCGTCATCCTGAATCCTCTTAAATTAAAAAAAAAAAGTTATAATTAACTATTAACGTTAATGAATTCAAACCTTCCAGAAAGCACGAATCCAAAAGGAAATGTCCACCACGGTGACACGAACCAGACACACTATGGCCTCTCCTGTGTCCCCCTTGGACACGCTACACAGCAACGGAACAGAGATCTTGGAGTTTCTCAGTTTTATTCTGAGCACAGTGCGTGGCTGTTACTGCGCACGGTCCTCCAGCAGGTACACGATGAGCTCATAGGTGGACAGCACGATGGCTGTGTTTGGGATCTGCCGCACGAGCTGGGCGAAGAGCCCTCTGTAGAAGGCGAGGTAGCCCTCCTCGCGGAACACCAGGCGCGCCGTCTGCAGGAAGGACTTGTACTTGGTGCCCTCCTCCCGGAGCCGCGTCCGTATCACCTCTGTAAGGACAGAAGCACATGCACTATGGTACCAACGCAACGCAGGAAGAAGTTCAGCTTTGCTCTCACATGCCAGGAGATGAGGGGAAGGTACATACTATCGGGAGCCCTGACTTCCCCACTCTCCTTCGGTCCACTGGGAGAGCCGGCTCCTCCTCCTCCAGCTTGCCTGTTGGCCTCGTCGGCAGGTATGCACTGCCTACCTGTGGCTGGTCACACCTCCCTGGCATGTAGATCTCGGACATGGGATCTCTTCTCCAGGTAGCCCCCAGAGATTTGCTCAGTGGTGCCCCAGCACACAGTGGGGCTCACTGCCTGGCACTGAGGTGATGTGTGTGTTTGTCACTACAAAGGTGCAAGAGGTTTTTCAAAAGAACACTTGTTAGGGGCCGGGGAGATAGCTCAGTAGAATAAGTGCTTGCCTGGCAAGTACAAGGGCCTGAGTTCAATTCCCAGTTCTGCCCAAAACAAAAACAAAAACAAAAACAAACAAAAAAAAGAACACTTGTTTAATGGCATAATAAAACAAGTTTCTATCTTTTTGTAAAAAAAAGGTCAGGGGATGATAATTCTATAGTTCTTTTCAAAAAATAAAACTTGGGGCTGGCCAGATAGCTCAGCAGACTAAGCGCCTGCTTAGGCAGAGCGCAGCAGCCAGGGTCCAATCCCCAGTGTGTTGGCCCTGCCCCGGGGGTGCGCTGAGATGGCGATGAAGTCTGGGCATTGTGG